AATCTTAGCTCGACCTGCAGTACGGCTCTTGGATTTTGTCCGTATTTTGTGGTTTGATTAAATCGATAAGAGATCATTTTAAAGTTGTTTTCATGTCGTCTCGTGCAGAACACTTTACTGTCCTGATTTTCTGCTTTTTAAAAAGCATTTCCTCAAAGCTTTATTGACGCTCCAGTTAAAGATGCGGTGTGTTGTGGTCAGTCATCAGTCTGATTGTTGATTTCATTGCGTGAAGAGAAACGGAGCATTTGTAAACATTTTTATTTTTAATCTGTCAACACGGGCGCGAAGTAAACAAAGTAATCAGTGACGGGTGCCTCAGAGATACACACACACATACACACCTATTTACGTCTATTCAGACTGTTCACACACACACACACACATACACACACACTCAAACACACACACACTCACGCTCTCTCAGCAGCGCTGCTGCTTATGTTCAGATAGCGGGACTGATTAGCTTGTCAGAGGAAGTCTAGCTGCTGTCTCCGACTGGAGGAATCCACTCAGGCTTGATTAGCACACCTGCAGCTCCTCTGCCAGCGTTCAGCCCGCGCTCAGCCAACGTTCAGCTGGAAACATCCAGCCAGCATCCAGCCAGTGTTCGTCTGACATTCAGCAAATGTTTAGTCAGTGTTCAGAGCCGTTTAGCCAACAATTAGCCTTTGTTTAGTTAACATTTAGCCAATGTTTATCAGCCAGTGTTAAGGTGATATTCAGCCAATGTCCACTCAACTACTGTTCAGCCAACATTCATCCGATGCTCAGGCAATGTTCCCCCATCATTTATCCAGTGTTTTGTCAATGTTTAGTCAATGTTTAGCAGTTGACATTCAACAAACATCCGCTCAAGGGTCAGCTGACATTCGTCCAGTGTTCAGGCAGTCTTCTGCCATCATTCATGCAGTGTTCAGTCAGCATTGAGCTGACATTGAGTCACTGCTTAGTCAGCGTTCAGTAGACATTTAGCCAATGTCTAATCAGCGTTAGGCCAATATTCAGCCAACATTCAACCGACATTCATCCAGTGTTCAGGCAGTTCTGCCATTGTTTGTGCAGTATTCAGTCAACATTGAGCCAACGTTGAGTCACTGCTCAGCCAGCGTTCAGCAGACATTAAGCTAGTATTCACCCAGTGTTCAGCCAATGTTTAGCTGACATTCATCCAGTGTTCAGACAGTGTTTAACCATCATTCATGAAGTATTCATTCAGCATTGAGCCAATGTTAGTCACTGCTCAGCCAGCATGGCGTTGACATTTAGCTAATGTCCAATCAGTGTTCAGCCAACTTTCAGCTGACATTCATCCAGTGTTCAGGGAGTCTTCTGCCATCATTGATGCAGTGTTCAGTCAACATTGAGCCAACATTGAGTCACCGCTCAGCCAGCATTCATTTGACATTCAGCCAACATCTATTCAATGTTCAGCCAACATTCAGCCCACATTTTATTGTTTATATTATTAGTTGACATTGATCCAGTGTTCAAGCTGTCTTCCACCATTATTCATGCAGTCTTAAGTCAACATTAAGCCAATGTTGAGTCAGTGCTCAGCCAACGTTCAGCCAACATTCAACCTACATTCATCCAATGTTCAATTTTGAGTCAACTAGGAGCCAAAGTTTAGTCACTGATCTGCCAGTGTTTGGTTGACATTCAGTCAACGTCCACTCAATGCTCAGCCAACATTCTGCCAACATTTAATGTAGCTGACATTCATCCAGTGCTCAGGCTGTCTTTCACCATCATTCCTGCAGTTTTCAGTCAACATTGAGTGTGTTTACATGTACTCAGTACTCTGATTACTGCAGTTATCTGATTATTCAAACGGTCATGTAAACAGCACGCTCTGATTTCTTAGATCGGTGTAAGGTCTAGAAATCTGATTAAGAAAAAGAGTTGGATTTTAGCTCAGTAATCAGATTTCTCGGTGCTGTAAACTTTTACTCTGATTTCTTTCGGATTTCTCAGTCTGAGCATGTGCAAAAACAGATGGCGGTACTGGAAATAAGTGAGCAGCGTCGCTCCAAAAGTGTTTCGCTGCTTCCCGTGGCGACGCTGCTCACTTATTTCCAGTACCGCCATCTGTTTTTGCACATGCTCAGACTGAGAAATCCGAAAGAAATCAGAGTAAAAGTTTACAGCACTGAGAAACCAAATACATGCTCGACAAAATAAAGGATTTAAATATTCTTCATCTTCTAGATGATGTTTGTTCATATTTTCAGGTAAAGTGGTGCGATGTTTTTTAAAAAAAGCCGTAGAGTGAAGTTTGAGTTTTACGTTACGTTTACGTCGCGTCTTCTTCTGTGAGTTTATTGGCTGGTTGTAAAGCAGAAATCTGATTACTGTCTGACTCATGTAGATCCGGAGTTTCCCTATTATCTGATTACTCAAATGCATGTAAACGTGTTGATCGGATTCCTGACAAAATCTGATTTTCTGCAGTTATCGGATCAAAGTTTGGTCACTGCTCAGCCAGCGTTCATTGACATTCAGCCAATGTTCAACTGAGGCTCCAGTGCCACCTCACCGTCCAGCCATCAGTGTGGACTTTAGGCGTTGGCGGTTGAAGGCAATATTACGATCTTTGGAAAATCGTGGAAAAGATTGTCAATGAAACAAGCTCTGAATTAAATGAAAAGGTAATGCTGTTATCTAGTGTTTGTGCAGAATCAAAGTCTGAAATTGCGTTTACACCTTAATTAAGACCTTCTGTTTTCCCGACTGTGAAAGATTTTCGCTGTTTTGAACCAACAGGCCGCAGCAGAAACGCTCAAAATAGCCGTCACGTGTTTTCCGGGCGCTGTAGCCGTTTATAGTCCCTGATGCTAACCTCTTGTACTCTGTGCTAATTCAGACTGTCGATCAGGCGCTGGGCCGGTGGGCCGGTGGGCCGGTGGGCCAGGGGAGGCCGCTGTAATTAAGTGGGCTTTGGATATGTGTGTTGGGCAGAAGGACAGGGGGAACACTGGCCAGGTGGCGGCTGAACGCGGGACCTGTCAGCTCCACTGATGACCCTTTTAATTCCACTCTGCCTGGGGCGGTAATTGATATTTAGCAGAAAGGTTAATTGTAGCAGTGATCTGTTTAAATTAGAGCAGAGATTTGGAGACTGGGGGGCAAGACCCTGACAGCCACCGGGGACCCACATACACAGAGTCAAATAAATTACGGCCCGGCGCTCGTCTGACATCAAACATGCTCGCTCACATACACACACCAGCATGTATTCATGTATTTGTGGGGAGTTTACGTTAGAAATTAGCATTTTAACCTGATATCTTGATCATGTGAGGCTGACGTGATTCCCAGGGCTGTTTATTTGATGAGTAACGAATGTGATCTTGCAGAGTTGAAAATTCGGATGTTTTTATTCAGGCTGTGTCAGAAAAACTACATTTTTGAACAAGAAAACGTGTGAATAGTAACACAAGTCACAGTTCGGTTGTGTTATATCAGTAACTGGATTAAACAAATCAATGATAATTTCTTACCTATATGAGTTCTTATTGAATGTTTGCTTAATCAATCAATCAATCAATCAATCAATCAACCAGGCTTTTTTTTGATGCAGAAGTACATTGAGACTGATCCTCATTTACAATGTAGCCGAGCAAATTACACAGGGGTTGAAAAGTAAATAACAGCTCAAATAGGAAACAGGCATAAAATATTAATAAAATATTTGAGGATGTAATGAAATATGATGATAAAATATCTATACCTGCACATATAGATTGACATCTTGTACATCTTCTATCCATATCTTGTTTAATCTGGAATAAATATATATGGGAATACATGGGAATTAGTTCATTTTTATTTAATTGACGGCATTTTTATGCAAAATCAATTTAAGATGCTTTGCATTACGCAGAAATGCATTCAGTATGGATCAGTACGGAAATGTTTTTGGATGTGATGCAAGTTTTATGGTGCTAAAAAATTCCAATTACTCATAGTTTTGGTTAATATTATTGTATATGATCAAAAATTAAACCGTTTCAGGTAAACAGTGCTTTGCAAAGCTGCGTGTACGTGTACTTGTATGTACCAGATCAATGTGAAGTTGTAAATGTAATGTTCATTGTAAAGTGCGCAGTAAAGTATAGCTCAGGGGTCGGCAACATGTACCCTGTCCTGTTGTGGCTCCACAGCTGAATCAGATTTGTAGGTAAAAATAAAATAATCCTCCTTTACAGTAAAATAAAGCTCTGCTGATCGTTCAACACAGTTTAACAATAAATGGTCTTAAACTCTGGAGTTAATGTAGAACTGCTGATTCACCCTTTAACCCTGAAGATCAGCGCAGACTGCTGGTCACCATAGCAACACAAACAACAGTCTCGCCTAGCTAGTAGCTAACGAAACGGCAAAGAGAGAGATTTAAGACCAACATCGATAATTTAGAGATGAATGGACTTATATGCATTTATAATCACTCCAGCTGGTTTCCTGATACGTTTAATCTGCAGAGAAACTGACGAACACTAAAAAGTCGCAAAGCTGAAGTCAGTTTCTCATTCATCAGCTTCTTATTTGAATTTTCCCGTTCCACCTTAATGGTGCAGCAGTTACATTCTGGCAACTCAGGCAGCATTTAAGGTGGAACGGAAAAATTCAAACAAGAAGTTGATGAATAAGAAGCATATATTTCTGTTCCACCTTTGAGAAAATGTTTCCTGCTGGAGATGTGAGAAAAGTGGCTACAGCTGAGCTAAAGCTTAAAGCAGAGCAAAGTCTGTGTTTTCATTTATGTTATATTTTTATCCTATACCAGCACATCAGCACAGACTGAGACACATTTACAGATGGTAAAACGGACTTAAACCTTCCCAAGGTGGTTTGATTTTAGTTGAAAGGACAAAATGGCTCTTCTTAACATTTGGGTTGTGACCCCTGCTCTAGTAGAAAGTCCGATGTAAAGTTCACAGTAAAGCCCAAAATAAGTTCACAACAAAGTGGAATCATTTTGTGTTTTGCTTTAACAGTTTCGAAGCGTCCTGGCTCAGGCCGGAAGGACCATTCCAGAGACGAATGTTCACGAGTTGAGCTCCACAGCCAACCGCAGCAGCTCCAAGGACCGCCTCAGTGAGGTAAGCACAGACACGCCTACTTTGCTGATGTCACAACCTTAGGCTGCTAATGAGTGATGACTTTTAGGGGTCTAGCTCCAATTATTACTCTCCACTACCCTGTCAGTGTTACTCCCCTGTAAAATCCTCAGTGAAGTTCAAAGCCCATGTTGAAGTTCATAATACAGTCCACAGGGAAGGTCAGTGTAAAATCCTCAGTGCAGTGTAAAGTTCACAGGAAAGTTCGGTATAAGTTCCACAGTGAATCTCAGTGTCCACAGTAAAGTTCAGTGTAGAGTCCACAGAAAAGTTTGCTATAACGTCCACAGTAAAGCATGAAGTCAACAGTAATGTCCACAGTAAAGTTCATTATAAAATCTACAATGAAGTTTGAAAAAAAAATCTACAATAAAGTTCAGCCACAGTAAGTTTAGTTTGAAGTCTACAGTAAAGTGTAAAGTCCACAGTAAAGTTCAGTGTAAAGTCCAAGGTAATGTATAAAGTTCAGTGTAAAGTCCAAGGTAATGTATAAAGTTCACAGTAAAGTTTGGCATAATGTCCACAGTAAAACATAAAGTCAATGGTAAAGTTCAGTGTAAAGTCCACAGTAAAGTTCAGTGTAAAGTCCACAGTAAACTCTGCATTAAAGTTAAAGCCCAGTTTAAACTTCAGTGTAAGTCTAATGTCAAGTCCACAGGTAAGCCAAAGACTGATTTTTTGAGTTTGAGTTTACTGTAAAGTATGATGTAACGTTCAGTGTAAAGAGTAAAGTTTCATGTAAAGTTTATTGTGAAGTATAGTGTAAATTGTAATGAAAAAAACCTGATGTAAAATTTGTGGCAAAGTGCAATGTAAAGTTCAATGTAAGTAGTAGTATAAAGTGTGAAGCCCAATGTAAAGTTTATTGCAAACTGCACTGTAAAGTGTAAAGCCTGATGTAAAGTTTACTATAAGTACAGTGTTGCATTATGTGTGAAGAGTAAACCCTGTAAAGTTTATTGTGAACTACAGTGTAAACTGCAGTGTATGAAGCCTGCTGGAAAATCTACTGCAAAGTGCAGTGTAAAGTTGTGAGGAGTAATGTAAAGTGTGAAATCTGATGTAAAGTTTATTGCAAAGTACAGTGTAAAATTCAATGTGAAGCGTAAAACCTGAAGTAAAGTCTACTGTACAGTCCATGTTAAAGTCCAGTGTGAGTGCACAGTGAAGGTGAACCAGTTATTCCAATGAAAAACGCAGTTACTGCTACTGTTACTGCTACAGTCAGTTACAGCCCACATTAAAATACAGTACAAACGTCAACCGTAAAGTTCAGGATGACATTCAGTGTAAAGTTGTTCTTTTGTTAGTGAGTAAATTAAAATAAAAAGAAACACAAAAGCTGAGAGTTGCGGTGACATCCTATATATAATTATATATGTAATTATTACCGATAATTATTTTAATCATTGATAATTAAAAATAATGTGTGGCCATGACTTAGTAAGGCAGGGGAACAAGATAATTAAGTTGTGGCCACGACTTAGAAAGGCATAGGAACAAGATTCTAATGCATGGCCATGACTTAGTAAGGTGTGGGAATGAGATCCTAATGTGTGGCCACAACTTGGTGAGGCATGGTCTTGTTCCCACACCTTACTAAGTTGTAGCCACAACTTAATTATCTCATTCCCATGCCTTGCTAAGTCATAACCACGACTTAATTATCTCATTCCCATGGCTTACTAAGTCATGGCCATGCAGTATTAACGCATGGAAAATGAGATCCTAATGCTTGGCCACGACTTAGTAAGGCATGGGAATGAGATAATTAAGTCGTGGTTATGACTTAGCAAGGCATGGGAATGAGATAATTAAGTTGTGGCTATAACTTAGTAAGACATGGGAACGAGGTTCTAATGCGTGGCCACGACTTAGTAAGGTGTGGGAATGAGATCCTAATGTGTGGCCACAACTTAATGAGGCATGATCTTGTTCCCACGCCTTACTAAGTTGTAGCCACGACTTAATTATCTCATTTCCATGGCTTACTAAGTCATTAGGATCTCTTTCCATGCGTTAATACTGCATGGCCACGACTTAGGGAATGAGATAATTAAGTTGAGGCTATGACTTAGTAAGGCATGGGAATGAGATCCTAATATGTGGCCACAACTTATTGAGGCATGATCTTGTTCCCATGCCTTACTAAGTCATAGTCACACGTTAGGATCTTGTTCCCATGCGTTAACACGGCGTGGCCTGCGTTGTTTATGTTTATGCGCGATGTCACCGGCGCGGCTCCGTAGAGAGTGGAACTGAATGATGGCAGTAAATTTAAAAGCAGTTCTGCACTGTAATGTATTATTATGCTGTAATAATAATAAAGAGCGGTTAAACAGTTTGGGAATATTCGTTGGGGCTGGATTGTGTACGCTGGCTGTGTGTGGTGGTGCTGTTGGGGGGGGGGTTACTGAAATGGCTGTGGGATGAAATAATAAGGCTCTGCGCGAGTGTAATGAGAATTTATGTCTAATTCCCTCGTGGCTCATTTTAAATGAATTCTGAATATGCTTCCCTAACTAATGCCTGTCAAACGCGCCGCGAATCCGTGGCAGATTCACTCCGGCGGAGCGAGCGAGCGTCTCTCCAAACGAGTGATGATGGGCGGAGGGAGAGTGATGGAATGAAAAAAGTGTTTTTAATGAAGAGATTAAATGCGCTGTTTCTGATGGAAATTAGAGGATCGGAGAAAAATCGCTGCTAGAAACCTTTTATACTCTCTCTCTCTCTCTCTCTCTCTCTCTCTCTCTCTCTCCTCTCTCTCTCTCTCTCTTTTACCTCTCTCTCCTTCCATCTCTAACTCTGTTTCTACTCTTTCTCTCCCTCCATCTCTGTTTCTGTCTCTCCCCTCTCTATCTCTATAACTCTCTTTTTGCTCTCTCGCGCTTTCTCTCTCTCTCCCTCTCTCTCTATCTCTCCGTCTTTCTGCCCCCCCCATGTCTTGTTTTGAATCAAATCAGTATCAGCGCTGCTGAAGGCTGTCGGAGTGACGGACTCTCTCTCTCTCTCTCTCTCTCTCTGTCGGAGATGGACAGATATAAACGACAGGGGCAGGCGTTCTGCTTCTTAGCAGCGTTTATTTGGCAGCAGATTAGAGAGAAATGCCATATCTAACACTGTCAGCCTCTACAGCCGCAATTTCCCTCCACTCCGCCTCCTTCTGTCGCTTTTCACTGTCAGACCTGTCAGCTCGCATCACGCTTTTATCAGCCTGCAGCCCACCTCCTCCCTCCATCCCTCCCTCGCTCCCCCGCTCCCCTCTCGCTCCCTCTCTCTGACTTTTCATTTTAAAGGAAAAAAACAGCCTTTTCCTTTTCCTCAAATCCATAAGACATGGTAGAGAGAGAGAGAGAGAGAGAGAGAGAGAGAGAAAGAGAGAAAGGGAGAGAGCAGAAGAGAGACAGCGAAAGAGAGAGAAAGAAGAGAGAATGAAAGAGACAGAAAGATATAGAGAGAAGAGAGAGAGAGAGAGAAGAAAGAGATGAGAAGGAGAGAGGAGGGAGAGAGAAAGAGAGAGAGAGGGCAAAAGAGAGAAAGAAGAGAGAGAGATCAGACAGCAAAAGAGAGAGAGAGGACAGAGCGAGTGACAGAGAGAGAGAGAGGGGAGAGAAGATAGAGAAGAAAGAAAGAAAAGAAAGGAGGAGGGAGAGAAGAGGAGAGAGAAAAAGAGAAACAGATAAGGAGAGGGGAGAGAGAGAAAAAGATGAAAGAGAGAGAGAGAAACGAAAGAGAAGAGAAGGAGAGGGAGGAGGGAGAGAGAGACAAATGAGAACGAAAAAGAGAGACAGAGATGAAAGAGAGAGAGAGAGAGAGAGAGAGAGAGAGAGCAAATAGAGATAGAGATACAGAGATAGAGGAGAGAGAAACAGACAGAGGGAGAGAGAGAGCAAAAACAGAGTTAGAGATAGAGGGAGGGAGAGAGAAAGATGAGAGAGAGAGAGATAGTAAAAACATAACAAATGCTAAAAAGTATTAACAATCATAGTAATAAATAAAAAAAAATAAACCATTAAAATTACAACATTATAGCAACTTAATAAATAAGATAAAGTAAAGATAAATAAAATATGTATATGCCCTGTGATTGACAGACGGCCTGTCCAGGGTGTTTCCTGCCTTTCGCCCAGTGGCTGCTGGGATTGGCTCCAGCTCCACCGGAGGATAAGTGGCTTAGAAAATATGGTAACACTTTCTATGAATGTCACGTTTATAAGCATCTATAAACACATTTATAACATGTCATAATGCATTCATATGACATTATAAACATGATTATAAACATTTACAAAAATGAATTACACTTTATAGCCATGTTTATTATACATTATGAATTGTTAATATAATGGATTATAAATAGTGTTAATAACATGTTATAATGTCAGTGCCAAAGAAGTCAGTCCCAGCTTGGAGAGCGTAAAGTAAAGACAAATACCAAGCTAACGGTGGTGTACATTACCTTTCCCACACTGGGTAAAACACTGATGGCAGCTCTAGTTTAAACTCTGACATTTGAAGCCTGTAATGTGCTTTACTGTGAATGTTTTAGTGTTTCAGTAAATCCTTCAGTAAATACTTCAACTTGAAGCCTCACTCTGAACACTGGAGGAGGCTTTAGTACAGTACGCTTCACTTTACTTAGAGCAGACAAATACCACTTATGAGCTCTTATAATTTGTTATGATCAGTACTTATAATGTATTATGTTAACAATTCATAATGCATAATAAATATGGCTATACCATGTAATTCATTTTTATAAATATTTATAGCCATGTTTATAATGCCTTATGAATGCATTATAACGTTATGAATGTGTTTGTAGATGCTTACAAAGGTGACATTCATAGAAAGTGTTACCGAAAATATTTGTATGTATGTAAAAAAATATATAATTAATGAAATAAATAAAGAAATAAACGACGTCAAACAGTAGCTTAGCAATGTTAAAATAAATAAGAACAAAATAAAATGAAACCGTA